TCTGTCATGTGTGATAATCTCGACGTAGTGGAAGCATTAAACAAAGGTCGCTCTTTTTTCACCCAACATAATGTCCCCTGACCATTTCAACCTCCGTCTCAAACATTCAAAGATCAAAGGAGCCTGCAATATAGTAATAGCTCGCTCGGACACATCTCTCTGCCCCTACAAATCCTTTATGCGTTACACTCGCCTCCACTGCAAAAAGGAGATCTTAACGGACCTCTATTTCTCACTCCAGACATTCTTCCCATGACAGCAACCTGGTTCAGAGCTCGACTAAGATCCCTACTGCTCCTCTGTAAATTGTCTCCCCAGCTCTACACAGCTCACTCATTCAGGATAGGCGCCGCCACGCGCGCGGCCTCGCTGGGGCTCCCCCACACCTCTCTGCAACAGCTGGGGCGCTGGTCCTCTTCGGCTTTCTCCACCTACATCAGGCCAGACGCGTCCGCTATCCTGGCTGCACAACGTCTACTGGCTTCCTCGTAAGCTCCCAGCAAAGCAATACAAAGCAAAGTAAGTGAACCAATAAGATTCTGGTGGCGGCACGCACTTCTTCAAAGATAACCCTGTTGCAGGGTCCGGTTGATCGTGATGCGAGCGCTCACGTCCCGGCGCTTAAAGATAACTCCACTGCAGCGTCTGGTACCGATCGTGATGCGAGCGCTCACGTCCCAGACAGCGTCCGGTTGATCGTGATGCGAGCGCTCACGTCCCGGCGCTCAAAGATAACTCTGCTACAGCGTCTGGTATCGATCGTGATGCGAGCGCTCACGTCCCAGGCAGCGTCCGGTTGATCGTGATGCGAGCGCTCACGTCCCGGCGCTTAAAGATACTCCACCGCAGCGTCTGGTACCGATTGTGATGCGAGCGCTCACGTCCCAGACAGCGTCCGGTTGATCGTGAAGCGAGCGCTCACGTCCCGGCGCTTAAAGATAACTCCACTGCAGCGTCTGGTATCGATCGTGATGCGAGCGCTCACGTCCCAGACAGCGTCCGGTTGATCGTGATGCGAGCGCTCACGTCCCGGCGCTCAAAGACAACTCTGCTACAGCGTCTGGTATCGATCGTGATGCGAGCGCTCACGTCCCAGGCAGCGTCCGGTTGATCGTGAAGCGAGCGCTCACGTCCCGGCGCTCAAAGATAACTCTGCTACAGCGTCTGGTATCGATCGTGAAGCGAGCGCTCACGTCCCAGGCAGCGTCCGGTTGATCGTGAAGCGAGCGCTCACGTCCCAGGCAGCGTCCGGTTGATCGTGAAGCGAGCGCTCACGTCCCGGCGCGCAAAGATAACTCTGCTACAGCGTCTGGTATCGATCGTGATGCAAGCGCTCACGTCCCAGTCAGCGTCCGGTTAAATCGTGATGCGAGCGCTCACGTCCCGGCGCGCAAAGATAACTCTGCCCGTTTTTGGGGATTATGCGCGCGAGCAAGCGCCGCACTCATCAGCATCTCTCCCGGGCCTAGGGCGCCAAACATACTCAATCAACAAACTTCTAACTGCATTTTCCCTCTTGGGTCTCTCCAAAGTGAAATGGAGCTCTTCGCGAAAGTTCACTGTGGTAGACCCGGCCACTGCTGCCAGATCTACAAGCCTGCTCATCCTCTACTCATTACACCAGCAAAACGCCCACATCTAATCCACCAATAACCACCAGGACAGCAAGTTAAAAGCCGGAGACGCCCACTTTCCCGGCCTTCTGAAGTTTGCAAAGCCTCCGCCGCCCCACCTCCTCCTTCTCTCATCGAAGCGTGCTTGCCTACTGCCTCTGCCGTCACCAGTGCCTAGGCCCCGGGGGGGGATTATGCGCGCGAGCAAGCGCCGCACTCATCAGCATCTCTCCCGGGCCTAGGGCGCCAAACATACTCAATCAACAAACTTCTAACTGCATTTTCCCTCTTGGGTCTCTCCAAAGTGAATTGCATATGATTGACAATTAGAAGGACCAATAGTTTCGATGATCCACCCAGAAGAACAACATCCTCCCATTTACCTTTAAGAGACAGTATAAAATATCAAATGGTCAGTAGCTAACATGTGCACAACATTTTAAACTAAAACATAATGGATTATTATGGAGCCTTCTGGGGAATTATGATTCAGATTGTAAAGACAGATAGTGTAGATATTTTACAGCCGAGAACATGGAACACTGACGGCAAAAGAAGCTGCTCAGTAACTTTGAAGATTAAACAGATTTACAGAAACCAGCATTCAAACAACATTTGAACTGTGTTATAAAAGCCCTGCTCCAGACTTGATATATTTCAGAACAACACATCATTAGCAACGCCCAGAGGCTAAATGTTCTTTGTTTTTTGGACGTTTATCACCACATTTCAGCCCTCGTGGGTAATGAGTTATGCAAACAAGTGTAAAGGGAAACCCATGAAGAGCCCAGAAGAGTCTAGGCACAAACAGTTCATTCCCCTGGCGCCCTCATACCACATAGAGATCAGCAATCCTGAGAGGGCAGGGACCACAAATACCCAACATGTGAGTATAGCACACCACAATGCTGTAACATGTTCACACAATCAGACCTACGGCAGGACAAGGCCAAAATACACACTTCTTTTTATCTGCTTATGAAAACTAAACTTAATGAGACGAACCCTCTGGTGCAAACTGTGTGACTAGAACAATTATATATATATTTTTAACAGAGCGATATGAGCGTAGGAATCACAAGAAGCAGAAAGCTGTCTCTTATTAGCTGCGCCGACACACATTAGCACCTGCTAATGGTTTTGAGAACAGTCCAAGCTCTATCACACGTGGAACAGCCAGACACTCTTGTATCAATGTCATTACTGCAAAATCATAACTGAGAAGCGCATGGATGAGTGATATACTTTGTTATTCAATATTTTATGGGATTAAAGACCCATACAAAATGTAATAACAAAGTATCAAATAAAAGTTACAGTCCATTTGAATTATGCTGCTTCAAATTTAACTCAGAAGAGATTGTACCAATAAAGCATGTGGTGTACACTCAGAGGTTTAACAGCTTTAGCCATCACTACTACAGTATGTGTGTTATGAGGACGGCCTGTTGAGTAATGTGGACATATTAGAGCTTTATTAGCGTGTCAGGTATATGTTGTACAAGTGTTAAGTGTGGGCTCCTGTCACTGCTATGACAGCTATATTATTGTCTTTGAGACTAGTATGCTCCCCTCACGTGCATAATTGACTTTTATTTGCTGTACCATAAACTGTATGCAACATCTACCACAATCTAAATATATATTCTGATTATCATAATATATGTTGCTCTGTAGCTTTATTTTGGTCTCTACACAGAAACAATAATAATGGTATCCACATGGCTTTATGAACATGTAAATACCAATGTTACAGCTTCTGCATTCATTATGATAATCACATAATCATATAATATTATGATAATCAGAAAATGTGTATCTATATGTTTAGCAATTATTCTTAAAATTAATCATGACTTTTCTGATTCTTTCTTATATCCCAACAACCTGCAGGATAGAAGCCCATAAATAAAAGCGACAGAGTATAGTAGATCTACCTCTACTGTGCAAATGCAGGCCTGATGTCGGTGCATGCACTACCTGTATTTAACTGCACTGTACTGGACATGAGAGTATGCTCCAGTCCAACCCCAAACTCACAAACTCCAACCCCATTGGTCACTATTCGAGTACCTCAGTGTCAGTGGATGACCTCTTTCTCTTCTTGGCTGAGAAGATTTTCCAGATCCGCCGCCAAAGAAAAGTGGCTACTAAACACACGCTGCCTAATATCCAAACGTCTTTGTCCTGGAGGAAGGTCTCCATGATGGAAAGCTTCCTTTTGCAGTGTGTTGTCCTCTGTGGCTTTAGTTTGATCTCCACACAGCCGTGGATGGTGTCAAAACACTTGTTGGCATGAGCTGGGACAGCGTGCCTTCAGCTGGCCTCGGGCCGCTGAGCAGAGAGCGCTCAAATCACTACAAACAGTAACTTCTGCCCACCCACCATTCACTTTCCACCTGACTTCCTCCTGCCACTGGTCAGGCGGCCTAAAAGGAGAGCACATGCCGTCTCTGAGACGAGAGGGGGACAGGTGGTGTAGAGTTCACACTGTGGGTGCTTTACGCAGAATCAGATGCTTACTGCTGGAGGTATGTCAGGCAGAGAACGTGGTATCCTTTAACTTTGGACACAGCACTTTGAGAATACTCCTGACTATATCTGTAGGGACCAATGCTCAGACTGAAGTAAGTACAGCAGCAGTGAGAAGATTAGCAAACAACCTGTCAAAGAAATCAAGTCTCATGTGTGGCTCCATCTTTTATTTGGCTCTTTTTACTTTTATTTTCTTGTGTAATTTCTTTGTGCTTATACTTGTGTAGCTTCTATGTTTGTTTCTTGTAAGGGGGTTAGAAAGGATCCAAACGTTATTGGATCTTTACTTGAAAGTGGTTTGGTCCAAAGCAGCCTGAGAGACAGACAGCGGTCAGTCTGCATGGAACAGGTAATATATCCTATAGGCATGTGTGTACTGCAGCAGGAGGATCAGGTGCCAGGGGCCAGTTCAATCACTGAGAGCCTAAAGACTGTTTATGACAGTTGATCCTTTACACTATTTTACACCAAAATACTTTGTCATGCAACCGTATGTCACGCTACTATTTCATTATGACAATGTATTATCATTAACTACAATGTATTATCACTTAACTCTACAATGTATTATTTCATTTATTTCATTGTCATTTGGTCATTCACAGTCATTCCAGTTTAAATCAAAACAAACACAATTACATAAATAAGTCTGTGAATGACCAGGCACAGGCTGAAGCCAAAGCGTATTGTGCCTGTCAAGTTATCACTTAACTCTACAAAGTATTATCATTTAACTGTGTAGCTTGTTTTTTGTTTTAGTGACAGCAATTTTCTAATGATATCAGTTCTATTTTCTATTTATTTTTCCACAGTTTGGATGGCTTAGTTCAGACTGTGGGACTGAGATGTTTACTAAAACGTGGGGAGGTATGAAAGGATCACAGAAGGTACTGAGGTTGATACCTGCAAAGAAAAAAAAACGATCCCTGGTGGAATTTTAAGAGAACTGCAAAACATAGGAGTAAGATTCATATAACAATAATAATAATAATAAGTTGTATAGCACTTTTTGGACACTCAAAGACGCTTCACATGGGGAGTAAGAATAATGATAGTAATGCTAATACAAATAAATAATATGTAAATTTTTAAATGGGCAGCTTGGATTATACTTACTATTGCATTACCTTGATTTGTGTATGGTTAACTTTGTGAATGAAAAATGTATGAAAAGGCTAAACTCAATGGTATAAAACAGTGACCTCTTGTGGACACTACACGTCATGACTAAGCAACAAAATTTGTCGCAATCCATGGAGAACAACACAATGGTATGTGATTAGGATTAGATTAAGATTAAGAAAATAGGAGATCCTCTATTCGTCTCACAGTGGGGAAATCTCAGTGTTGCATCGCAAGTTACAGAACAGTAGGAAAGAGGAGCACACAGCACAAGATAAGTGAACAATAGCTATACTAATTGAAATAAAACAAAATCTCTAACTCTATTATCAAAAACAAGTATAAAATCTCTGACTGGAAAATAGTAATTGTAAAAAAGTACTGTGCATAGTGCAAGCAATGTGTAGTGGCGATATGGCTCTCTCTAGTGGTAACTGTGTATAAATCAGTCACAGCCATCAGGTCTGTTGACACTTCTTAATGTGGCAGGGGTTTTTGGAATGGTATGTACTTTATTTGAACAGGGACAGTGTACAATTAATCATCAACACAAAGAAGAGATGCATGTTCCAGGTTATAGCAAAGATGCTAATTTCCACCTGTATAGTCCCTGGGCAGGCTGGTGTTATGTTCATTTAAACTGACTACAATGTAGATGGATACATGACTGTGTCTTACATTTACAGGCTTTAAATAACATCATTCACAAAAAATTAAGTTTAATACCAATAAATACAGTTCCCCAACTTCTACTAGAATATTACCCTCACTCACTCACTCACTCGTGCGTGCAAACTTGCTTTTTCAGAAGCCATTTCTTAGTCAGCCAAGAAAATGTTTTAAATGTAGTACACGCAATGATCTCTGTGGGCAGTGTGTTCCACTGGCTCATGGCCGTCACAGAGAAAGCAGATTTAGCAAAAGTTGTTCGAAATTTTTTGACGCTGCTTTCTCCTCTAGAGGTGGATCGAGTTGTTCGGGTCATTTTATCTGCGCTCAATGATACAAATTTTCTAAGAGGAGGTGCACTAACACCATGGATAATTTTAAACAGTAAACAAACATTGGAGTAAAATGTCAGGTTTTCAAAGTTGACAAAGTCATATTTAGAGAGGATGGGACAGTGATGGTACCGCCTGGACTTCTTATCATGGATCTTTAGGGCATATTTGTACAGTGACCCAAGAGGTCCCAGAGTGGATTTACAGCCCTGAGACCAGCCCCAGATACAAGATACAAAATGTGACAGGATCATGGAGTTCAGATACATATGGGACGCCTCAGTGGTGAGTGACCCCCGAATGTATCTGAAGTTGGCCAAATTAAACTTAAGAGTGTTACAAAGTTTATTTATATGATGTTTGAAAGTCAGGTTTAATTCATTTTCAGCAGTTGTTAGTTTAGCAATAAAGTGCTTGTACCTGATTGCCTCCTTCCAGTTCCACATGTTTCAGTTCCCAAAAGCATCGCATAGTCTCCACCTTCTCCAGATGCCGATAAAACGCCAGACGACCCAGACGGAGGCTGTTGCTGCGGTTACGGATGGCCTTCAGACCCTCCATCTTCTCCACGATGGGAGACATGGGTATCGGAGGAGGTACTGCACAGAAATGTTTGCCATTCTTCCTATTGTCGATGCAAAGGGTTTTTTCTGACCTGTAGACACACATTAAAACACTTTGTCAACAAAAACAATACTGTCTGGAAATTGTGTTTACAGAATAATGTCAAAAATGGGTTCCTCCGACTATTTTTGAGCAACAGTGGCTCGGTTGGTAGAGCATTGGGCTTTGAGCCAGAAGGTCGTGGGTTCGAGCCCACCATAAGACTTTCTCCACCGACTCCCACTGATGTCTGCTGTCGTTGTGTCCTTGGGCAAGACACTTAACCTCTGGGAACACCAGCCACAGTTGGGCGGCTGTAAAGTGCCAAACTGCCGTTGTGTCCTTAGGCAAGACACTTCACTCCCATTGCCTAGAATGGTTGGTGGTGGTCGGAGGGGCCGATGGCACAGACTGGTTGCCTTGCTTCTGTCAGTGTGCCCCAGGGCAGCTGTGGCTACAGTAGTAGTTTATCACCACCGTGTATGGAGTGAAAGAATAATGACATGTACAGCGTCTCTGAGTGTCCAAAAAAGCGCTATATAAAACCGATGCATTATTATTATTATTGCGTTTTCAATGAAGCTAAAACCTGTAGTAAAAGACAGAATACTACAGAGTGGGGCCCCCAAAAAGGGTGTCTGGACATTCTGTTTGAGACAATAAATCAGCATATTTGTGTTGGAGGGAAATATATACAGAGCGCAAAGAGGTGCACCCTCAGAGCTCGGGTTTAGGACACAGCAGGGAGAGATTATATTATGCAAATTTATTGTAACAAGAAAATAAATGTTTGAATGAAACTTGGATTTTCCTTGGTCTTCCTTCCTGGTCAAATTTGAATATTGCAACAAGCTTGAGGAGTTCACTTTTTAATGTACGTCAAAAAGACTCAAAGCGAACATCCATCTTGTCTTGGAACCAAGACCAGGGCAAATTTCAGGCTGCAATTCATGAAAAAATGTCTTCTGTAAGTTTCATTGTTCTTCTTTTAACCTGTATTTTGACTTCCCAATATCAACAGTTTTGTTAAAGGTGCAGTAAGCGATGTTGTTAGCTTAGCCGTAGCACCAACCGGAAACCACTCCCCCCTTGCCTCCCTCTCCACCAAACCAAACATCCAGCATATTATTTTCTTTGTCACAACAGGGAGAGAGGGCGGCAAACGTAAAATTGGCATTTTCTGTTCAGCCATTTTAGGTTTAAGAAAATCCGATAACTCCGGTGCACTCGAGAGAAACAGGAAGAGGGTGAAGGAGGTAAACGCATCCCATTGGTTTGTTGGGGATGAACGAATCCGAATTGGTTTATTTTATCGGTCCGCTCCAAAATATTTTGTATGAATTTTTGGAGACTATAGGCATCTGGTCCAGATTCAGATTCAGATTCATTTATTTGCCATTTGCAGTAAAACCACATTGGAAAAACTGTGCAAGACTACCCCGGTGTGCACCAGACACACACCAGAGCTCTTGCCACGGCGCCATCTTTACGGCGCCATGCGACCATTCCATTACTATTGGAAAACACATGATAACTTGACTAATTTTAGGGTTTAGGGACGTTTTCCCACAATATTTAAAAAAAAATGCGTCTGGAAAAAATCACTGACTGCATCTTGAAGTCCTCTGAGATGTCTGCTGTTGTGATTTACGGCTATACAAGATTGGATGGAATTTAAATTTAATTGAATTGTATTAAAACGAACTCTAGTTTAGCATGAGATTCTCAGGTAAGAACATGAGGAAAGCAATGATAAACAGAGAATTAGTATTTCTCACCAAACTGACTTGATCTTGTGATGAAGAACCACATTCCCAGAGAAAGAACTTGAGAAAAACCAGTAAATACTGCCCGTCCAAAGTTAGCACGGATACGGGTGTCATTGCCAAATTGCAAACAGCAAACAAAATGTTCCCGCATTTCGTCTATCAATCTGCAAAAACAAGAATCTCGTGCTTTTGGTCCAGTTTTGGTTCAGATTATGGACTTACTTTGATTTTAAACAAAAAAAGAACATATAAATTTGATGCAAAAGACACTCTCTCCAAAAAGAAAATGATGGAGATTGTGGTAGAATGGTAAAGCCTAAAAACAGCCATCACCTCCAACTTGTTCTTAAAGCTGCACTAACTGACTTTGGGATTTTGAAGCCGCAGACTCGCTGGCCTCGCTCTTTCTCCTCCCCTCCCCGCACCCACGAAGCTATTGCCCCCCACACACACCCACTGTTGGGATGGAGCTAGTGTCTCCCAATATGGATAAATACATGGACATGGATTTGCACGTGGATGGTGTGACCATAGAACGATAGAACCGGGAAGCGCGGAGGAACGGGACTTTCTTTTGGATGGCTGTCTCGCTGTGTAAGCAGTAACCGGTGACGAAGACGAGGAAGTTTCAGGTTAGCCTCTGCCGCTTGTTGCGCTAATTCAGCCGTCTATGCTAACAGGGAACTGTAGATTTCTCCTTGAAAGTGGGGGCTAGGGTCCGCTGTGATTGGTCACAATCTGCGACCCGAAACACATTCTCTTCCTTGTTTCATAAAAACTCGATCTAAAATATAATGTCACGCCAAGCACAAATTTGCGCTACTTTTTCTTCAAAAGGACGTATATCCCAATGCACTACATGGACATGGATAGCATTTTCGTAATGAATACGAAAATAAAAAGTCAGTTAGTGCAGCTTTAAGTAAGTAAGTGAGTCATTTTTATTTATATAGCGCCGTTCACAGACCAGAGTCACAAAGCAATTTACTATTGTCTTTACATTTGTCTCTCACTCCACACAGAGATGGGAGCAGGTCGCCTACAGGATGTACATGCCAGACCTATTGTACATGTTTTTAGTGTTGGGGACATCAGAGCACCTTGAGGAAACTTACACAGCCACGAGGAGAACATGCAAACTCCACTCAGAAAGACCCTGCTTCGACAAGTCACAGTGCCGCCCATTTTGCTTTGTTTAAAGTGGCCCACGACCAAACAGAATGGCCTACTGGAAGATGTGAAAATGTGTTTCCCACAACAGGTGGTACTACGCGATGAGTACAGAAGGCAACACCGACTGGGAACCACTGACCTAGAACCAAACCGGTTTAGAGTTATTGGACGGGTCTATGATACAGTATGAAGTGTATGTTGCTAAAAATATAATTAATTTGTCTTTAGACTACTTAAAGGAGCAGTATCTGGTTGCCAGATATGCAGACGAATCCAGCTTGGACCATAACAGCTGAATAGACAAGAGTTTTGTCAACAACAAATCTATAACCAACACCTTTTTCACAAAGATAGAAATCCTGGTCTTATTCATTGTTTTGTCGATTTGAGAATCATAACAAGACCTTTTTTTTGTTCTGCGCCACATGGTACTTTACCAGTGAAAACTGGTGAAAACTGGTAAAGTACCATCACTCACACGGTGAGTTCTGGCGCCCTGATCACAGACTTTCTGATTGGTAAAACAGTGGAGGGCAGGACATCGAAATGAAAACAATAACAAGATTTACTGTAGGGACTGGATATTAATTTTGATATTCAAATACCTCTGGACTACTGTTATCAGTTAAATTAGTATTGGAAAAGAGCAGTTTATTATTATGACAGATTAGGGCTCTTTAATGATGACAGATTAGGGCTCTTTAATGATGACAGATTAGGGCCCTTTAATGATGACAGATTAGGGCCCATTAATGATGACAGATTAGGGCCCTTTAATGATGACAGATTAGGGCCCTTTAATGATGACAGATTAGTGCCCTTTAATGATGACAGATTAGGGCCCCTTAATGATGACAGATTAGGGCCCTTTAATGATGACGGATTAGGGCCCTTTAATGATGACGGATTAGGGACCTTTAATGCTGACTTGACATGAAAATCTTACATCTCACTACTTTAATAGCTGGTTCAAGTTTATGGATGAAGAGTTTCATCTTCTCAACAAGAGGGTCCTGGGTTCGAATCCCAGTCGGAATTGGCCCATTCTACCTACCTACTTACTTACTTATCTACTTACCGTCTTACTTACTTACCTACCTACATACCTACTTACCTACGTACTTACCTACCTACTAACCTACCTATTTACTAACTAACGTACTAACTTATCTACTTACCGTCTTACTTACTTACCTACCTACATACCTACTTACCTACGTACTTACTTACTTATCTACTTACCGTCTTACTTACTTACCTACCTACATACCTACTTACCTACGTACTTACCTACCTACTAACCTACCTATTTACTAACTAACGTACTAACTTACTTACTTACCTACCTACCTACTTACCTACCTACTTACCTACTTACCTACCTACTTACCTACCTACTTACCTACTTACCTACCTACTTACCTACCTACTTACCTACTTACCTACCTACTTACCTACCTACTTACCTACTTACTTACCTACTTACCTACCTACTTACTTACTTACTTACTTACTAGTGGCTTCATGTGGACCGTGATGATGAGCTGGAGAAATGAGTGACAGCTGGCTTTTTGCTGTGCTCTACCTGCTTTGCCTCTGGGGCCGGCTGCACCAGATATATTTACCTCCGGAGTGTAAAATGTCCTGAATTTTCTTTTATAATTAAAGGGGTCAGAGCAGGGTGTCAACACGCAGCCGGAGCCTCTGATGCGCCGTGTCACAGCCAGGGCTCTTCAGCACCAGAACTTCTACAGATTGAGTTTCAGCTTCAGAGCTAAGGCAGAAACAGTGGTCTCACATGCACCTGTCGCTGCTCCTCCTTATTTTTTACTTGAGCTACGCATCTACACACGTCTAAAGGGTTTGGGGAAAAAAGGGTTTATTCTATAAACACAAAAACATTTTATTATTATTATTGTCAGATTGTTTCTTTAATGTTATTGTAATTGTGAGATACTCTGCGAGTTACTGTGACAACACAATTTCTTTTGTGGATCAATAAAGTCTGTCTAGGTCTAAGTCTAAAAAACAATGGTGATAATGGTAAAGATGTCCAAATCTAGGTTAAAGCAGCATAAATCAATCTTTGAACCATAATCTATTTCTGCCA